CCCTTGCCCCTTGACCACTAAATGCCAGTGGCCACAGCCCCTCTCGGCATGACCACCAGTGTCCCCAGATATCGCCAGGTGGGCTTCGGAGGCACGCTGAGCTGCCGAGTTGCCCCCTTGTCGGCTCTCCCAAACGCTTGGTGACACGGCGGAAACGAAGCTGAAGATGCTCCCTGTTTCCAAGGTGCAGTCAGTCCAGGGACACGAGAGAGGACCCCAACCTCCTGAAACCAGGCCTCCTCTCTCCAGCACCCCCCCACTTCCTAATGGGGCTTGTGGAGGTTTCGGGGAATCTCTGGTCAGGGTACCAAGTCTATCGGGAAAGTTGATCTCCATCATGTGTCCATTAGTTGCTCATTAAAATAAGCCCACATGGCCTTGGAAGTGAGCCATGTTGGAAACTCCTTGCAGATGATTAGCGGGAAGATGTCCAGGTGTGAGGGGCATGGGTCTGGGTAGGGGCCAGCCTAAGGCTCACCAGGCCTTCCCAGGCTGCAGCTTGGACTCCATGATTTGCTACATCATCCAACACCTGCTCTTCCTCTCACCTGGCAGATGCCATCAGAGATTATGGGGTGTGTGTGGGGGGCTGTATAAATCCCTTATGCCCACTGTCCCTTGGTTTTACTTTCTTGTAAAATGGGCGGTGGGGTCAAGGATAACTCAGCTCCATTTTTCAGGGCCTCTCCACGTTCTGTCTTCAGCCCCTTATCCCAGATGCCCTGGCCCATGGGCCTTTCATCCTGGACCTCCTCCACCTTCCCTTCCCTCCTGAGCACCTTCCTCTTCCAGCGACCCTCCTCCTCTGCATGCTGTGTCACATAATGCTCTTGCTGCGCCCCCATGGGGACCTTCCTACCCCAGGCTCCCTGGTCAGATTTTTTATAAATAGTCCTCCTTTGGGGCTTGGTCTCCCTGAATAGTCTCCTTCCTGTGCAGTCTCTGAGAGGATCTGGCCTCTGGGCACTGGCTGTGCCCTGCCTCCCGCTACAGGTCCCCGCAGGCGGATGCCCATGGCCTCTGGCCCCAATCCCCAGGACCTTCCTTCCTCCCTCGGGTTCACCTTCTTCAGAATAGGTCTGGCTCAGCAGCTCCTTCCTGCCCTCCTCCCTCCCAGAGAGACCCCAGCGTCAAGTCAAAGACAGAGGACTTCATTTGTGCTTTTCCAAAGTTAGTTTAATCGCCAAAGCAAGATGTTTGTTAAATATATTTACACACCACTAAATCTATAAAAGGCAAAGGCCCACTCCCTGTCCACTCTTCTGAGGCACGAGTCTTAACCCTTTGGACAGTATCCCTCCTCTGCATGTAGATGAAGGAGAGTGCCTGCTGTGTGTGGCCTGTGACCTGGCCTGTGGCCGTCTGTGGCCTGCACCCCCACAGCGTGGCCGGCATCACATGCCCTCCTTTGCTGAGGGGTCCCGGTGGACTATTTCTCCAATTTCAAACTTGGAGACAGGCCTGGAATGATGAAATGACTGTCCCCAGGTTTTGTCCACACCCTTGAGCTTAACCACAGGGCCAAAGCTCCTCTCCTTAAAATTAGAAACGGGCTTCCTCTAAGAAAGGGTAAAGAATGAGTGGAAAGGACAGGAGAAAACATCGTTAAAACCAGCAAACAAAACAAAGGCATTTCCCAAGTGCTGTCAAGGGTTGTCCTGTTCAGAGTTGCAAAGTCTGTCTTGGATACTGAGGTTCGTCCAGCACCAGATTGTCCACGTCACCATGCCTGTCTCACTTAGGAGGAGGAGGTCCAGGGGGTGTCCTGTCCGCCTGAGG